CTAGGAGCCTTCATTTTAACAGCACACGAGTGTGAAATCTGCCAGCTCAGAGACAGGGGAAGATTGAAAAAAGGCCCATCGCAGTTGGGTGAGAGCCTCATGACCCCAATACACCACCTCAAGATCTTTTTCAGGCTGCAGCAGGGTTTCCTGAAAACCAGAGGTGTGGTTATGTCTGGCTTCTGTGGACAGTTGGGTCAAGTTCCAAAGCTGTGTTTGCTCTGTTTTAGAAGCTGAGAAAATTCTGGATGAGATTCAGGTTAAGGGATAAAGTTCTTAAATCCAGCTCATCTTCCACTCCTTGTTCTGAAATCATTTCCTCACAAATTAGACTCAGAAGTTGAGCTCTGTTCTCCTGTTCAAGATAAATAAATGGCAGGAGGAAAAAAATAATCATTTCTTTGGGGACTAGGGCTCTCATGAGAGTGGGAAGCCCTATGAACTCTTGAAAATTGCAAAATTACAGAGCCCCTGAGCTCCATGCAGCTGTCATGCATCTGTCAGTGTTTCCTTTGCTCCTTTCCAATATCTTGGTGTAGAAATAGAAGCTACTGCCTTTGTGGGCAGCCTGCCTGGAGCACAGGACACAGCTCTGAGCTGGGAGGAGAGAGGGGCCCTCATCGGGCTGCCCAGGTGTTCCTCCCACGGCTCTTCTTCACGCTCTTCTGGCCTCAGTTTGTTTTCCCTGTCAAACAGACTGGGGTTATATGGTTTGGAGAGACGTGGGGTGAGAAGCACGGTGTTATTTCAACTCCTCAAATACCAAACAGCATTTGTGCAAAGCTTTCAGGGTCCTTCACATGAAAGGTATAGAGCCTCAAAGAGAATACACAGGTTAGACCCCAAGTTGGTTCTTCCCAGAGTGGAGCCTTGCAGTATGGCCCATCCTGTGCACTTTCAAGTTTGAGAGCCACCATCTCAGTGTGGGGAGAGAATCCAGATGACCTCAGATGAGCCCTAGAATCTTGGGGCTGGCTGCCACCATATGACTCAGCGTCTAATAAGAGCTGAGCCATGAGAACTGCAAAATGGGTCAGATGAAAGCAAACCCTCCCACGGACACAGCCCCATTTAACGCACATGCCCAATCCCAGAGACCATGACAGTTTGATGAGGTTGGTCAGGTTGGGGGAGGGCAGGGCCCCGGGTGGAGACACTGCCTTTGCTGTGGTTATGTCAGCTACAGGACGGAGGCGCTTCATGAGAGCATGGAAGGCTGATGTGGTTCTGGAAACCTCCGGTCCTCAGATACCCATGGACCTTGGCTCACCCCAATGCAGGCCCCTCTTTGCCAGTTCTTTGGAGCCTCAGCTCCAGTTAAGAGCTGAGTCCAGGTCCCTAAAATGCCAGAGGGCAGGGCTAGTGCATTGGGGCTGGCCGTCATGGTCTCTCCCAGCAACAGCTGCTTGCAGTCACCACGTAGGCTCTCTACTACCCTTCCCCTCCACCCACTCCGCCCTCTGCAACCTCCCAGGGCTTCCCCTCCCTGCCCTGGACCTGGGTCTGATTTAAATAATTTCCCTTACCATGGCAGGTGTCTTCCTTTCACCCCACATTGCCCTTCTCCCTCTTCCCGCCCCCCCCCTCCATGGTCCATTTTGGAGTCTAAGGGTGATCGTAAGTCCAGGATTTGACTCAGGAAATAAGAGGCATAATCCTTGCCTTCCTGTGCCATTGTGAGGGTCCCATGAGATGGTGCCAGAGCAGCATGTGGCTGGGGCAACAGGAGGCCATTTTTCATGCCCTTCTTTTTTGAATCTGGGTTGGTTGGCTCAGGGCTTAGACTGTGATGCTCTTAGACCTCTATCAAAGGCTCAGTCCTTGAAAGAATCAGTGTGGCCTATAAAAAACTTTAGTTCCCATCCCCCACAGTAGTGGGCCCAGAGGATCTGAGAGAGGGGAGTGTGGCTGGCTCAGTTTACCAGGGCCTGCTGCAGCAGGAGCAGCTCAGAGCCATCTTCAGAAGGGAAGGCGACAGTGCCTGGAAAGCCTCAGCCCTCAGCCTTCCCAGGCCTCGGGCAAGTGGGCAGGCAGTTGCTGGTACAGAAAGTTAACTGGCCATGAATTCTTTCCCAGCACTTGGTGGCGCATGATATTCTTCTTTCCATACAGATAGATGGCCCTACACTTGAGTAGAGCTTGGTGGATTCCGAGTCCCCCGGCACCAGAGAGTGAAGATGGGAAATTTGAGCATGATACCGTGGAGAATTGTCATGCCCCCATTCCTTCCCTAGGGAGGCGCTTGGCGTCTTCCAGCCCAGCTGAGCTGCACGATGTCTTCTTGGGGGACCCTGGTCAGCCAGTTGTTAATCTCTCCCAGCCTGTGGCAGGACCCTTAGTTTTGCCCTTTAATGATCACACAGGAGGATGTTGGCTAACCCTGCTGATGCCCACCTTCTCCCAGCCTCACCTTGCCAAGTTCAGGCCCTTCCATAAAAGAGGGGATCTTGGTGAATGAACAAGACTTCCCCCCAGATAAGAATGTGTGTGTGAATTCCCTGAATCCTTAGCAATTTCATGGCAGCTCAGAGTCAAGGGGGGCTAGAAGGTCATTAGAGGTCACGCAGTCCATCTAACCCCCCCCCCCACACACACACACACACACACGTCTGGGCAGATGTGGCCTTGATTCTTGGGACCTGGGTCAGAAAGGAGGTGGGAATTCCATAAACATCTTGCTTTCCTTCTGGAGAAATTGTAGAGAGGCCAGGAGGGCCTCAGTCCTGATCCCACAGCCGCCCAGAGGTCTTGGGGAGCTTGACCAGCTCTGGGAGGCTAGCCCCCTCCTCACTATCACGGGAGAGCTGTTGCTGCATAGGGAGAAATGAAGGGGAGGGCTTCTCTGTCAATCCCCCTCACACCTCTGCCATTTGGTTCTCCCTGCAGGTGCTCCAGTGGCATTGACCGCTACCGCCAGGAGTGGCTGGCCTACGGCTGTGCCCAGGAGGTGAGAGGCGTAAGTGAGCCGGGTTGTGGGGAACAGTAGGGCTGTCAGCAGGCCCCTTGCCTGGGAGCTCCCTCAAAGTGTCTTTAGCTCTTGGTGAAATTCTGCTCTCCGCCTGGGACGTGGATCCTCTGGGAGGCTCTGCCCTGGGGAAGTGACTGCTGGGGCTCCAGCCTTCAGTCTTTTGAAACTGACAGTTGTTCTGAGAGTGAGGAGGGTTGTTCCAGGCTCCTCTCATTTAGAATCCCGTAAAGGTTCCTTCTCACTGCTGGAATTTTCCAGAATGCTCCATACTTTGATTCTGGGCGGGGAGCATCCTGTTCCCACACCTTATACGAGCACAGGCAGACCCATTCATCCAGGCGTCCTTTTTCTGTCCATCTCTTCTTGCAGTGCAAGCGCTTTGTGTGTGCCCAGCACTTCACTGCACGCTGCCCTACACTTGCTCTGACTTCATCCTAACGTGGCCCCAGGAGCTGGGGGCCAGTGCCCCCACTGATCAGAGCAGAAAACTGAAGCTCAGAGAGGTGTAGTGATTTGACCTGCATCTCACAGCTGATGAGATGGTGAAGGGACCAGGCCCAGCATTTAAACGTCAACCCCCAGACCCCACTGCCAGGTGCTCATCACCGTCTGTTTTATTAGTAAGGTGGGGTGAGCTGTCTTTTTCTGGCCTTAAAATATTCTTGTCCAGCAGCCCACTTCTGATATTGGCTGTTGGTGAATATACAGATTTGCTCTATTTATTTAAAATTGGCATCTCATCGCCTTCCTTGAGGAAGGATTCGAAGCAGCAGACAGATAAATTGCCCTGTAAGATAAGATGCTTGCTTTCAGGATAAAGTGGGAGGCTCACAGACATTCAGGGCCCAGCTTTGGTTAGATTGCCATGCTTGGACCATGCACTGGAATTTTAGATTTGCTGGCCGCTGAGGGATGAAAGTGCCCTTATCGTCCTCATTTGTGTGGCATGCCTGCCAGTGAGGCCTCCGTCCAGGGCAGCCCTTCGTGTCTCTTACAGGCAGAGGGCAAGACGTGTGCGGACTTCCAGGACGAGGACCACTACTCATCCTCCCCCAACAGCTCCTTCAGCCCCTTTGATGGAGACCTCAGCACCACCTCCTCCTCCCTTTCCATGGACAGCCTCACCACAGAAGGTAAGGGTGGGGAAATAAGGGGAGAGAAGCCCTGGAGAAGGTTTTAGCGCCCTGAAGCATCACTATCTCTGACAGAGATTATTTAGGGAGTAGGAATTGCCCCATCCTTTCACAGATGAGGGACCTGAGGCTCAGAGAGCTGGAGTCACTTGCTTGTGAGAATGAGTGGACCTCACGCCCAGGCTCTAACTGCTGTACTGGCCCACATCAGGGCTGTGGGATGGAATTCACCATGGTGACAGGAAAAATTAATGTCCAACCCAGGGCCAGGTATTTTATGTAATATCTCAGTTAATCTTACTAGCAATCCTCACAGAACCTGTGAGGCCTTATCCTTGTAGCAGGTATAAACTCAGTCCATGTACTCAGAGGTGAGAGAAAGATTTCCTCGTTTTTCTATAACTTCAATCCTGGCTCTCAACCCTCACTCAGCTGGAGTGTGAGGAATCTCACCTCAGTCCTTCTGGGCCTGGGCTCCCTGCCCCTGGGACCTTGTGTGGCAGAGGGTCTGAGCGGGGCAGCTGCGTCCATCTTGGTTGCCGCTGATCCATTCCTCCCTCTGCAGGCCTGGCAGTCCCCAGGGGCTTTTCTGCCATCCCAGTCCTGGGGTCAATGCTCTGAATCTAGGTGTTAGCTCCTTACCCTTAGGCTAAGACTGAGAGACTTATGGGCTCTTACCACCTCCCCTAAGCTAAATACATGCTTGACTGGGACAAATAGAAAGGAGGAAAGGAGAGAAGAAAGAAATTAATATTATAAAACATTATTCCCATTTTGTAGATATGGAAATAAGTTCATAGGGGCAAGGTAGGTTACTTGGGGTAACGTGAAGGTTAAGTGGTAGACTGTTCTTTCCACAGAGCCCCTGCCTTTCTAAATGCAGCCTGGAGAACTGGAGAACTAGAGCAGGAACCCATGGGTCTGGCCAGAGAGGAGTCATAAAGGAAAGTGAACAAATGACAGAAAGAGCTAGCATTTTGGGGGGGAATGACCATATGTCAGGGAAGGTGATAATAATGTGCATGCATTAATACTCACTTAGTTCTCCTAGCACTCCTGTATGTTGATGCTCTTTGATCCCCGTTTTTATAGAGGAGACACTAAGGCTCAGAGAGGTTAATGACTTGCCCAAGGTCACACAGCCAGGAATAGGCAGAGTCAGGTCTCATCTGGCTCCAAAAGCAGCTATCTTGCCCCTCCACCCCCACTGCTTTTCTTGGTGCTGAAAGAAATAGAAAAAGGTCTTCATGGATTCAAGGAACAGGGAAAAATAGCAAAACTGAACAAGCAAGGCAGGTTCAGACGGCTCCCATTACTCTAAAGTTGTCCAGGAATAGCAAGGAGTTGGTTAAAGCCTGCTGGTGCTCCTGCTGGTGCTGTGGGAGATTAAATAAATTCAATGAAAAAGGAACAGGAGGAGGCCTTGCCCTCCAGGGAGTTAATGATCCAGTCCAGGGTGACCTTCCAATTAAAGAAAATTCTACGTAAAAGAAAGAACCCCCTGGCCAGTCACCCCTGAGTTAACCCTATGTGCTTATTGAGGGCACGCCAGAACCCAGCGCTCAGGGGTTTAGTGAGCCAGAGTGTCAGAAGCCAGAAGGTGGCTTTGGTGGGTGTGGAGAGCCCAGCACATGACACCTGGGGACCGGGTTGAAATCCTGACTTAGAATTATTCAGCCCCTGACAGTCCATTTCTCCCAGGTTATTGCCATGGTGGGCTGTCCCCAAACAGAGGCAGCGCATTCTATTGACCGGTTTTATTATGTGTGCATCTCCTGCCAGCCAGAAATGTGTCTCACTTCTGTGTGTAATAGTCCCAAACAGAAAACATTAATTAGAGTGAGGACAATTATGGCTTTATGTCATTCCAGTCTTGGAAGAAACGGCAAAGATCAAGTTACATCTATCAGAAAACAACATTGTGATGATGACTTTCCCCACCCCCAATTCTCAGGGCATCTTGGTCCTGCCTGTGTGATTACAGCCCGCATAGGGAGACTTAAGGAGGCAGGTGAGGGATGTCTATCTCAGGGTCCTGGGAGATTCTGTGAATGAAAGGCACACAGCACTCCAGCCAGAGGGCAGGGCAGAGTCAGAGAACAGAGAAGTTAGTGGGAGCAGGCTGCTGCTGGAGGCTTCACTGAGCCCTCTGGCACCAGCCAGACAGAAGAGCAGAGAGGGCCGGGGAGCAGGAGGTATGGGGGCTGGATTTTAAGAGTTATTCACTTGCAGTCGAATACCACCCAATTAAGTGAACCAGAATGACCTCTGAATGGTAAGCAGCTGCCACAAAGTCCATGCATTTTATTATAAGGAGAGACAGGCCCTCCCCCAGAAAAGCTGCAATAGAAGGGCTCATCTGATGAGCAACTGAACAGAACACGTTGACAGCAGCAAGAGGTGACAACTAACATAATACAGAAAAATGACCACTCATTCAATAAACATCACACTCATTTCTTCACTGGGTGAGTTTTCATGGGCCTCCACCACAATCCATTAATTAGGGAATTAATTTGCATTCCATGAATCCCCCAACAAGATGGCAGCTGGGGACCAGCCCTTGGTGAGTGAGAGGAAAGCTGTTGTGGGCACAGCATGGTCACCTGCAGTCCCTTTGTAGGAGGGACTGCCTGGAGGTGGTGCTGTGTCCTTTCGTCTGCCAGGGGTAGGTGTTGACTGGGCTACAATGGATTTTCAATGGTCTGGATTTGAAACAAGTTGATTTGAATCAAGCTAATTTTTTCCAGGGGTGTTTAGGGTCGTTTTTTATTAACCAATTCATTATTTTCAACTTGCAGTAGCAAAATAGAATCAGGAATGTGTTTAAATACCTAGTTTATTGAAATTCCTGAAGAAAACATAGCTTCCTATTTATTATGTCTATAACTCCCTTTTGTTTTGCTTTCGGTTTTTAGGGGTGCTTTTAAAATTTGATTTCATTATAACTATGTTATACTTAAATGATGATTTACATGGTTCCAAATTCAAACCTACAAAAGCAGGTATCTTCAAAGAAGTCCAGTTT